CAGGGTGATAACTGGCATAGTTAATTAAGCCCTCAGTATTAACCTAATATAAAAAATGATATCAATATCACCAGCTATGTAGTCCTTTGTATACCACAATTCTGCTCTGTAAGGTAAATGGCCTAAATTCAATGGTCTAAATAAAGAGCTATCTAGTAATACTATTCTATATTCCTATTATTTTACCTGAATTGCACCTACCTAGTTCAGTTTTCAAAAGAAAATTAAGTAAGATTATACTTCTTATATAAAAAAATGTGAGGTCTAAATAAGTTAAATGACTTATTCAAAGAAACAGTAATGTGAAGGCAGAGCCAAGATGAGGATTCGGTATTCTGAGATTCCTTAAAACTTTGTCCTCTCCAAAACTTTTAGCCCTCCACCAACTCCTTCCCTCCTAACAAAGCCACAGGTATAAGGCACCCAAAACAACTCCAATTCAATAATTTTAAAAATTTCGTTAAGCTATACATTTGATTTGTGCACTATTCTGTATATTGTTTTATATCATAATAGAAAGGCTAATGGCTTATCATTAGTGTATTCATATACGAAGCAAAGTAGTGGAAAAGTTACATCAAAAGCTACAAGGAGACAAACTCAGCAGATTATGTTCTCCTAACTTCTGTGAGAGGCAGAACTTTTTAACTGAGGTATAACATACATACAAAGAAGTGCACACTTCCAAAGTCTACTACTCAACTGAGTCTCATAAACAGAACACAACCATAAAATCATGACCCAGATAGAGACACAGAACATTACTAGCACACCTAGAATCTCCCTTGTCCTCACCACCAAAGACTAACCATTATTCTGATTTCCATTCCCATCTGTTAGTTTTGTCTGTTTTTGAAGCTTTACAGAAACAGAGTGCTCGCTTCAGCAGCAAATACACTAAAACTGGAACAACACAAGAAGATTAGCATGTCCCAGCACAAGGATGGCATGCAAAAATTGGTGAGGCGTCCCATCTTTTTTTATTATTACAGTAGTCTGTATTATTTAACATAAAAAAAGATCAATATGAAAATGGGAGGAACTAATCAACAATGTAATTAAAGACAACAGCATTATTTGCCTGGGAAACTAAAGACAAAACAAACTGAAAAAATTATTAAAACTGTGGAAGGAGTCAATTTGCTGCTTATGGAATAAACATATACTGTAATCACAATGACAAATACTATATACTATAGAATTAAAATAACATTTCTGGCTGGGCACAGTGGCTCACGCCTGTAATCCCAGCAACTCTGGGAGGCCAAAGTGGGAGGATCACTTGAGCTCAGGAGTTCAAGAGCAGCGGAGGGCAACATGGTGAAATTTCCAAAGAATAGGACTAACTCCACATGTAGCAGCTACATGTGGACAAGTAATGGTGTTTTCCTGATTAAATAACCTAAGTGTCATCCCCATGAAATGTATGTATACAAGTTTGTTGAATTGAAGGCTCCTCCAACTCCACTGTAGATAAATGCTATAAATGTAAGTAATACAAGAAACCTCATCCAAATTAACTCACGTAAAACAAAAACAAAACAAGAAAAATTTGCCACATCAAGGAAATTTATAAAGTGTGTAACTATTGTCTTTACCCAGTGACGCATTTATAAAGTGGATCTGAACTATAAATTACTACTACTTACTTGCATTTAAAAAAAAAGGATGTGAAATATTTTTTGTAAATTTTCTTTCATTTTTTTTAAGATGGAGTTTCACTCTTGGTTTACCCAGGCTGGAGTGCAATGGCGCGATCTCAGCTCACGGCAACCTCCGCCTCCTGGGTTCAGGCAATTCTCCTGCCTTAGCCTTCTGATTAGCTGGGACTACAGGCACGCGTCACCATGCCCAGTTAATTTTGGTATTTTTAGTAGAGACGGGGTTTCACCTTGTTGACCAGGATGGTCTCGATCTCTTGGCCTCCCGAAGTGCTGGGAGTACAGGCATGAGCCACCAAGCCTGACCCTGTAAATTTTCTTTACCCAAAGGTCACTGCAGCCACAACAAAATCATGTCCTTTGTAGCAACATGCATGCAGCTGGAGATCAGCATCCTAAGCTAATCACTGGGTAAACATGGGAACAATACATACAGGAAACCACAGAGAGGAAAGGATGGGAAGAAGTGAGGGTTCAAAACTACCTACTGGGTGCTGGATACAGTGGCTCACGCCTATAATCCCAGCACTGTGCGAGGCCGAGGTGGGCAGATTGTTTGAATCCAGGAGTTTAAGACCAGCCTGGGTAACAGGGAGAAACCCAGTCTGTACAGAAAACACAAAACAATTAGCAGGGCATGGTGGTGCATGCTTGTAGTCCCAGCTACTCAGGAGGCTGAGGCAAGAGAACTGCTTGAAACCAGGAAGACGGAAGTTGCAGTTAGCTGAGATTGCACCACTGCACTCCAGCCTGGTGATAGAGCAAGACTCTGTCTCAAATTAAAAAAAAATATTAGCAAGGCATGGTGGCCCACCACTATAGTCCCAGCTACCAGGAGACTGAGCTGGGAGGATAAGCTGAGCCCAAGAGATCAAAACTACAGTGACCAGTGATCATAACACTATACTCCAGCCTGGGGGAACAGAGACATACCCTGTCTCAAAAAAATTAAACAAAACTACCTACTGGGTGCTATGCTTACTACCTGGGTGGTGGGATCAATTGTACCCTAAACCTCATGCAATATAGCCGTGTAACAAACCTGTACACTATTATCATTGGAGAAAAGAGAGAAAATACATGGTGCTAATTTAGAACCATACAAATAGTTTTGACCCCATTTGAGGAAACATTTTGCATTTGTGTATTTGTTGAAAACAACTATCAATAAAAGACTATAATTGTGTCCTGTTCATTCATATGACTGACTACTACACAGCTATTAAAATAAATGAAGGCAGGTGCAGTGGCTCATACCTGTAATCCCAGCCATTTGGGAGGCTGAGGCTTGAGAATCACTTGCACCTGGGAGGCAGAGGTTGCAGTGAGGCAAGACTGTGCCCCTGCACTTCGGCCTGGGTGACAGAACAAGACTCTGTTTCAAAAATATTGATAATAATAATACACATATATCAACATAAATAAATGTCATTTTTCAAATTATAGAATACATATCATACACATTCTAAAATATATGTATTTGAAACATAATAATACTACATGTTAAATATATAGAGATATTCGTAGGAGAATACAAGTACATGGGCTAAAAGATAAATAACTTCTGCATAATAGGATCTAAGAGGATGACAAAAGGGACTCCAACTGTATACGTATTTTAATTTTTTTTTTTGAGACAAAATTTCACTCTTGTTGCCCCAGGCTGGAGTACAATGGCATGATTTTGGCTCACTGCAATCTCCGCCTCCTGGGTTCGAGCGATTCTGTTGCCTCAGCCTCGCAAATAGCTGGGATCACAGGCATGCACCACCGGGCTGGGCTAATTTTGTATTTTAGTAAAGATGGAGTTTCTCCATGTGGTCAGACTGGTCTTGAACTCCCAATCTCAGGTGATCTGCCCCGCCTCGGCCTCTCGAAGTACTAGGTTTACAGGCATGAGCCGGTATGCCTGGTCGCATATTTAAATGTCTAAAAACAAATATAGGCCAGGTACAGTGGCTCACCCCTGTAATCCCAGCACTTTGTGGGGCCAAGATGGGCAGATCACTTGAGGTCAGTTCAAGACCAGCCTGGCCAACATGGTGAAACAAAGGTGAAAAAGCTTGATATGTGGGTGCCTCATGAGCTCACAGAAAATTTAAAAGTTGTTGTTTTGAAGTGTTGTCTTCTCATTCTTTGTAATGATGACAAACCAGTTTTTGATCAGATTGTGACGTGAGACAAAAGTGGATTTTACACGAAAACAGTGAAGATCAGCTCAGTGGTTGGACCACGAAGACACTCCGAAGCACTTCTCAAAGCCAAACTTGCAACAAAAAAGAGGTCATGGTCACTGTTTGGTGGTCTGCTGCCGGTCTGATCCACTACAGCTTTCTGAATCCTGGCAAAATCAACACATCTGGGAAGGATGCTCAGCAAATCGATGAGATGCACCGAAAACTGCAACACCTGCAGCCGGCACTGGTCCACAGAAAGGGCCCAATTCTTCTCCACAACAACACCCGACCCCACATTGCACAACCAACACTTCAAAAGTTGAATGAACTGGGCTACGAAGTTTTGCCTCATCCATCATATTCAACTGATCTCTCGCCAACTGACTACCACTTTTCCAAGCATCTAGAAAAATTTTTGCAGGGAAAATGCTTCCACAACCAGCTATATGCATAAAACGCTTTCCAAGAGTTCATCAAATTCCAAGCACAGATTTTTACACCACAAGAATAAACAAACTTATTTCTCGTTGGCAAAAATGTGTTGATTGGAATGGTTCCTATTTTGATTAATAAAGATGTGTTTGGGCCTAGTTGAAATAATTTAGAATTTGCAATCTGAAATCATGATTAATTTTGCACCTACCTACATTTATTACCTCAACTGATCCTCAATTTTTTTTTTTTTTTTTTTTTTGAGATGGAGTCTCCCTCTGTCACCCAGGCTGGAGTACAGTGGCACAATCTTGGCTCACTGCAACCTCCGCCTCCTAAGTTCAAGCAATTCTCCTGCCTCAGCCTCCTGAGTAGCTGGGATAACAGATGCTTATACCAAGCCCAGCTAATTTTCCTATTTTAGAAAAATGGTAGAGACAGGGTTTCACCATGTTGGCCAGGCTGGTCTCAAAAACCCCTGACCTCATCTGCCCATCCTGGCCTCCCAAAGTGCTGAGATTATAGGCGTGAGCTACCACGTCTGGCCTAATCTTACATTTCCTGTTCTTTAAGAGACGGGGTTTTACCATCTTGGCCAGGCTGATCTCAAAATCCTGACCTTGAGATCTGCTCGCCTCAGCCTCCCAAAGTACTGGGATTACAGGTGTGAGCCACCTCACCCAGCTATTCTTAGTCTTTAAAAGAATAAAGTAAACCCAGATAATAACAAATGTCTTAACCCAGAAATCTAACCTTTTTGAATGATGTTCTCCATCCACAGAAGCACTTAATGCACTATAAGTGTGCAGTAAACAGCAAAGCCAACAGGCGCTAATCACTTAAACTCTAGAGGATATACGGCATAGCTCTTCCTAAAATATCACCAGATGGGTATACAAACTTAGACTGGCTCAACTCCCAGCTGTATATTAACACCAAAACTCTAATGAGTCTTTACTGTCATAATAAAAATCATTTGCCTAAATATCTTCCAATCCGTATTAGATGTATTAATAAACCATAGCCCATCTGAATTGCTACAACTCCACTTGATAGTTAAAACACACTGCAACACACACAAGCAGATACAGAACTTGGGAGTTCGAGCTGAGCTCTGTGTTTACAGAGTCCATACAAACTGATATTTCTTAAGGTGTCTTTCATCATTCTCAATCAGCTTATAAACAGAAAAACTGGATGGCTAGTCCTCTTGTGTTTAACTGTGATCAAATCCCAGAATGTCTTTAGTCATAGTGGAGTTCACAATGATAAAGTTCAAATCAGCTTACCTGCCCCCCATTCCTCCCATACTACTTCCTACAGCTGCCATTCCTCTTGAGAACTGGAGCCAGTTAACCAACCACTTTCTCAATGGTGACTGTGACTTAAACCTTCACAAGACATCCACTGAAATATAAAGACGTAAATTTCAGCACTTTGGGAGGTAAAGTGATCACCTGAGGTCAGGGGTTCATGACCAGCCTGGCCAACAAGGTGAAACCCCATCTCTATTAACAAAACACACAAAATTAGTCAGCTGCAGTAGCTTGTGCCTGCAATCCCAGCTACTTGGAAGGCTGAATACAAGAATCACTTGAACCTAGGAGGCAGAGGCTGCAATGAGCTGAGATCACACCACTGCACTCCGGCCTGGGTCACAGAGTGAGACTCCATCTTAAACAATAAAAAATAAAATAAAATACCAGTTTTCCTTCTTATAAACTTTGTGCAGTGGCAGTATCATAGCCAATGAGGTTTATCCAAGGCGTGATTATTGCTAATTGAAAAGTAAACATGCTCATTTTAGAAACCTGAGAAACTATAAAAGAATAAGAATCAAAAAAGTCACATTATCGCACCAAGAGAGAAATTAATCAGTACTATTATTTCCATTTCTGGACATCCAAGGTCTCCTCTATATGTAAAAGTATATTCATTCATTTACCAGACAGGATTTTAAGTACTGCAGAACAAGGGGGAAGTAGCCTACTAGTTTTTGGAAGGACTAATTTTCTTCAGTGTAAAGAAGTTACACTTACTGCTGAGTAAGTCAACATATGTACAGGAAACTGAAGAGAGTGACAAAGATGAAGGGAATCATACTTGCTCTTTTTCATTCACTCACAGCAAACCATGGAGTCCATGTTTTGGGAACATTTTGAGACCATTATTTCTTTATAAATAGCAGCCCACTTAATAAACAAATACGTATATACAAATATGCATAGACATATAATACATACAAATATATACACAAATATACAGTCTTGCCACAGGCGTTACACAGTGAAAGGAATGACATTAAGAGTATTTTTTGTCACCATTAAAGTATCTTAAGAGAAAGTAAAGGGGTATGTGAAAGGTTCATCTAAAATTCATGACTTCTTCCACAAAAATATTTTCTGTGCACATCAGCTGAAGGAACGATCTAACTATGGAAAAAGTAAGTGTTGGTTTTATAATGCTATAATTTATTTACATGTGTAAATAAATATGCAGGAGTTTAAACAGTTATTCTATAAACAGTAATAGCTTACTCTGTACCAGACACTGTATGAAGTGCTAGGGAGTAAGGGAGGGAACAGCCACCAGTCCCTACTTTTGCACAACCTTCAGTCTATCTCTTTAAATATGATGTCAAACACTAGGCATGTGGCCTCAAGGCTGATTAAATGATGATCTCAAATCCTTGTGATGATCTAAGATATATGTGAATATAAATCATGTTACCTAAGGTAAAAAGGGATATGTGGCCTTTAATGCAAAGCACTGTATACAGCAATCATCTTCAATATAAACTATCTCATTTCTTTTAAATGGCAAAAAAAAATCATTCAAGTTGCTTAACATAATCTCTTTTCACAGTCTCTAAGATTTTAATATCATCTTTCTCTGCCAATGACCCGTATGACATAACTGAAATTAATTTCCCCATAACGGGGATGAAAAGACTCAATTTTTTCTAATACAAAAAGCCTTGTTTCCTAATTTCATAACTTATGGGGGTTGAGAAGCAGGCAGCCACAAATCAAAAGCAACTTATTCAAATTCAAGAAAAAATTATGTTTTAATCTAAGAATCATCATGGAAAGTTTGTTATAGGCTCAGGTTATTCCAAATAGAGTTAGTGAAAGGTTAATTGTGTTACTTTGAGAGCAAAGGAGAGCAAGCAGCAATTATTCATCCCTTCACTCAGTCTCTAAAAAAGCAGAGAGATACATATTACTTCCAAACTGCTTTCCAAAAACGTACTTTTAAAAAATATGCTCTACACAATATCAATTATTCATATTGAAAAGGAATAGACTACATTGCCTCTTACCCTATGATTCACCCTATTCAAATTCAGCCACCTCAACAATACAAAAATTATCAAACTGATGCTTTAAATTTATTTTTGCCCTTATTGCAGATATTGCAGATATGACTCTCAAGAGCATGGAACTTGTTTTTTTTTTTTTTTTTTTGAGATGGAATCTCACTCTGTCAACCAGGCTGGAATGCAGTGGCACAATCTTGGCTCACTGCAACTCTGTCTCCCGGGTTCAAGCAATTATCCTGCCTCAGCCTCCCAAGCAGCTGGGACTACAGGTGCATGGCACCATGCCCAGTTGATTTTTTTGTATTTTTTGTTTGTCTGTTTTTGAGATGGGGGTTTCTCCATGTTGGTCGGGCTGCTCTCAAACTCCCCCTGCTTCCAAAATGCTGGGATTACAGGTGTGAGCCACCACACCTGGCCAATTTTT